ATAAAAATGATCAGCACTGAGTATATTTGGCAAACAGTGATACAAAATGTTATTTTTGCTGAAACATTTCATTAAAGACCAATAATTTTTAAGACTATTAAAATTGTTAACACTATTTGATTTGTAAATAAGTACAAGTTTATTCCTTGATGAAAGCAAAAAGCATTTTCAACACATTGATGCATAGTAGGTTAAGCAAACACAAAAGTCGAAGTACACGTTGTATATGATTTATTGCATCAGTACTGCTATAACAACAACAATTTTGACAGACATTTTTAACTTTTATATAGTAAGCTATTTATGTATTTATGTTTTCATTATAATGTGCCAGCTTTAAATGAATTGGAAGCTTGAAACACATTTTTGTATAACAGGTACGCACATACAGTTACATTTCCTTTCATTACTTTCCGTTGGTCCCGCTTAACAGCAATCTGTGTTATTTCACCGAGAAAACGTTCTTATTTCGCATGAGTAACAAAAATAATATTCCCTCGAATTCACTTTCTTCAGCTTTAAATTAATATTCTATTTACATTAATACTTTCGATACACTTCAGTACCATCGGTATAAAAAAATATATACATTTTAATTGTTATAGCTGTCAAATATTTGTATATTGCTCGTTATTATAAACGTATAAAAATCAGTGTGCCGAATCGTAACCAGTGCATTTGGAAAAGTTATTATTTTTAATTGTCAGTTGTTTTTAAGAACGTTTGCTCGTTCGATAGACCAAACAGTGCAAAGTAATACTAGATCTATTTATTGTCCCAGTTGCAGCACTACTTTACATCAAAAATGCCATAAATGTACTCGAAACAACAAGATTTAACGGTTATTACAAATAACTTATTAACTATAGAATAACTTAAAATAAACTTTACCGAGTATTAATTTCTAGCTTGCATTGAATATACGTATATCTATTATATTAAAAACGTTACTTTAAATTACAAGCGAGTCTGTTATACATTAGTATTTTGTTATCAATATTGCAATTCGAGTACAATTGCGGCAAACAAATATAATGTTCGGGAATAATGTTTGTGTGAGACAGGAAGATGAAAATATTTTACATACATACATATACTACATATTTATGATCATTGTATGTATAACTTATTTACAACATAACTACGCTACATATTAATAACTAATACACACTAGACGAATAAAAAATGCATGTATTTGTTTTCAAAATAATTGTTTGATATTTCTTGTATTCTGTCAATTTAATACTTTTGTTTTCAATACTTTATGCAAAGTATCCAAAGTAACAAAGTAACAAATTTAATTAAATTTAGTTAGTTCAATATTTTAAATTTCGTTGTTTCAATATTTTGCAGCACGAAATTATTCATCCAATGTTTACATCTAATATACAGATTACTAACCGATATTCTGTACAGCACTGCCGCCCATATACATGATACGATAGAAATTGCAAAACGATTCTATACTTACTTAACCAGTTAAGTGTGTTTGACGACTACATCCGTCATGGGGATGTGGCAGAATTTCGTGTCATGACGACTATATCCGTCATGCGGAAAATTTTGTTACAATTTGATATTTAAATTGTAATTTTGACAAAAACTAAATTATATTCGTAAATTGTAATATGTTTAAAATGTTTAGAGGTCAACACGAAATGAAATAAACAAATAAAAAGTGTAAATGATTTGAGATGGATTCATAAATTCTTGAGAGCTAACTCGTCATCACTCGATTATCACGACACACACTGGTGCGCGCTTTGCAAAAAGATCGCCACAGTCAACTGGTTAATTTAATCAATTAAATGTTACATTGATATATAATATAGAACACCCAGAATTTTGTTCATTTCTGTAGCGCACAGTCATTCCAGATACGACATACCTACTTACTAGGGTGATGCTAAAAATTAAACCTTTTAAATATTATTTAGCTATCTTAACATTTTGTTCTCTATGCCGAAAAACAGGTCTGGCAAAATGTTATTATATTTCATAATATTTTAAACAGTGGCGGCTTGATAATATTCACAATGGCGAATTCATGCATCTGATTCTTAATATTGGGTTGGACAACAAGTTGTGTCGTTTTTAAGGAGATATTCGGTTACCAATTTCACTTACTCATTCCTGATCATTTATAACTATTGCTCTTCTATTTTAAGTATTCACAGAAATATTTTACTTGAGTAAATGTCATCCATTGACAACACCGACATAACTCTTTACCCGACTCAATATATTTAACAGTCTTATTACCAATAAGTTACATATTTTTTAAAAAAGGAAAATAGTAATTGTTATCATTAGTCAAGGAATTTTAACAGAAATGTCCTCATTAAAAAATCGACATTATTAGCCTAATAATATTTGCGAAACACATTTTTAAAAATGTGACATGTCTACTCATAAAAATTGTGATAATTGTAATAATATTCCGATAAGCACGTTTCAAAATTATAATTTATTGAAAACAAAATTGCATTTTTGCTTTTGAAAAATGCAAATTTTAATAACTCATAACGTCCCCTAATATTTAATTGCTGAACATAATAAAAGTATTGTATTACTTGCTTATAAGGGCGGACATATTGGTCCTATGAAACTACAGAACACTTTTTTGAATAAATAAAGATCACCCTAATATCCACCTTCAGTTTCTACGACTTTACCGAGTCGTACTATTTTTATATTTGTGATGAATAATGAAAGATGACAAATGATTCATAAAAATTTGAAAAATCAAAGTTTTGTAAACGCACATAAATGCTGATAAATTAGAATACATTAGATAAATTACATATATTAGAAACAGGGTGATGAAAATGATTAATACATCACTGTCCACGAAATAGCACCTATGATAAAACATTACATTTCGAGAAAAATAAAATGAAAAAATATTCTATCTGTATTCACATATATAGAGTGCCCGTTTCAAAATGTCAACTTTAAACGTTTTAAGAATATTTTTCCAAGGAAGAATTTTGAATTCATATAAAAGTTTCGTGATTTCGAGGAAATGTACAACTGTTACATTTATTTCAGATTTATTAAGTATCTTCTCGAAAAGATATTTTTCAAATGTATCTTCAATAATTCGGACTTAAAAGCACAGTGGATTTTGTATAAGTTTGCTGTCGAATTGTCAAAATATAAATTAAATAACTTTTCCCAGAAGTCTGATAAAAACTATAAAACTAAAATCTGCAAATACCTTTCCATTTTAAAAAAGGAAATTGACCTTCTATCTCGAGAACACTTAAAAAATAGAAAATAAATATATTGGTTGCACCTTTTCGAAACCGGTAAATATTTTTTTCAAAAAGGCATTGTTTTCAATATATTTCTTGCAAAAGTAAAAAATACTTTTGCCATTATGATTTTCTTCAAACTAATGATTTCTGTCTAATTGTTAACAACATATTCTCAAAATACTAAAATATTTTTAGTCAATCCAATGTTCTTTTCAATAAAACATATGTGAATTCAGGGCCGCATTTTGCATTAGGCAAAATAGCTCTTATTTCAAAAACTCTTTGTTATCCGGGTATTAATAAGTGTACATCAAAATTAAAAAACAAGAGTTTTCAATGTCTTAAAATAACTTAATACTTATCGATCTTTTATTTCATTTTATACTTTTTTGCAATTTCAAATTATAATAATATAAATTAAACTAAAAAATGGTGATTTTTTGTAAATATTACATTCATTTTTGTTTATACAAGCAGGGACTCGACTTTCATTTGTATGCCTAAGATTCAAAAAACTTTAGAGACAACCCTGCATAAATCTACGTCTGTGAATGAATGACGCAGAAGTTGCATTCAGCGCATTGCTTAAAACACGATTCAGTTCTACAACAACGTTTATATTAATTCGTTTCTCGTATTGCACTGGATATCTATTCTAATACTACATCTATTCAACAAAGATATATTATTGTGATATGCAAGGTGTTTCATTGTCGATGATACAACCGGGTAGGAATGCCACTGTATACATATAAAAATAAATCCAAGATGCAAAACAGAATGTTACAATTCTCAATTTTCAGCTTTAAATTTCCAAATTCTTCTAAGTTCCCACAACAAATTTTCAATTTTTCGAATTTCAATTCAAATTTCCGAATTTCTAAGTTCATGAACGTTCAGATTTAAGAAACTTTAAAGTTAAATTCTGAGATTCTTTAACTTTTTAATACTCAAATCCTCAAATGTTTGAATTATTAATTTCGAAAATTTTTAAATATCTAATTATGAACTGCCCAATCTCCAGATCTTCAAGTTTCAAACAACCAAAATTCTTAAATATTAAAACACAAATTTCTGGATTTCAAAATTTAAAAATTTTGTGAATTAGGAACTTCGCAAATTAAAAGATTTAAACATTTTTTACAAAACCGAGTAAGTAAGTCTGCTGGCCGAATAGTATCAACTTATACGACCAATCACGAATAAATGAAATCACAGGTATTATCATGGGCGTGTATGAGAATTCTTATTAATATACTACATTCACTAATCACTAAATTAACAAAAAGACTGTTAAAAATTGTTATCTTTTTTATGGCATATAAATATTTCTGGCAAAATATTCTGAAAAATATTTTTTTTGTTAAACAAAGCTACGTATGAAAAAATTTTATTGTATATTTTCGGGTCATTTTCACGTTTAGAACCATGTCCATCCCAGTTGCATCATCAATAGTGGAATACTCTGTAAAGGTACCTCATTTTTTTTTTTTTGCCTAAGTTTTGTCAGTACATCTTATAAGTGTAAATAGAGAGTAACGAGTTATCTGAAAATAGGTAATTTTTTAATCACGACTTTATATGCCTTATAATTTCCATTTCAGTCTAAATTTTTTAGACTTTGATTCATGCAATGACTGAGTCATAAAAGTACATTTTAACTACTTTTCTTTTTTCAAAACTTTTTCAGTAGGATGCACTACATAATCTGTTAAATTTACACACGTTTCCAAGATGAATAACCTGAAATTCAGGAGTAATAACAGTTTGTTCTTCTCTTTTATACTAATAAGACATACTGACAAACTTTAGACAAAAAATTTTCCTAAAGAAACATCCTCTATAATACCATGTATTTTTGGCAATCCATGATACAAATGCAAAAATTCTGTTGGATTTATGTAATATTACTAACTTGTACGATTTACACAAGAGTGATTGAGAAGAAGATTCTGTTTCTTCGATTAAATAACCAACAGTATTTTTGCAAATAACGTATGTGTCAATAACCATGCAATATGGTTGCAAAAGATGCACAGTGTATCTTGTGTCATTCAATGATTGAAGAAAGTGATCCAATGGATCTATAGAAGGTTGGCTAGCTGTTGGGAAAAAAGTGGCACAAGGTGACAGTAATACTGCGTTTATGCGAATTATGTGCTTGTTTGCGTAAAACGACATTCGAAGAACGATCTTTGGCATCTTACGTACACTTGGAACGTATTTCCCAATGTGTCCAACGTATTTCCAAATCTTATTAATTATCTGATAAGTATCTTTTAATGAGGCATGTATTAATCCTCAAATAGCGGAGCTGAGTCTTGAATGATCCAAAGAATGATGATGAGTTTAAAATCATTTTAATTTTCTATATTTGATAAGGATACACTATTTCCAATATATGAAAGTTTTTCATTTGGAAATTTAAGGTTTTTAATTTTTATCTGTTACGTATAATTCGTACGTATGGGTCAAAGTTAACTCAGTCATCGTTTAAGGATTAATAAATCACTGCAGATAAGGGTTGCTACAACATTTTTTCTATAAATTAATGTTAAGTGCTTTGAAAAATATTTAGATGCTTCAGTGATAGGAATTTTTAAATATACAATTGTTTCAAGTGTCATTGCCCCTTTGCACTAAGTATGTTACTTTGTCCATAAATGAGCAAACTGATCCCAATATAATATTTATTCTATTTTACTTACGAAAAAAATAAATGGATAATTATCTCCGTTTACGCCATGGAATTTACAAATATTGTAGTTTCTAATGTGATCCGATCAAAATATTCTTCTTGCAATGTTTGTTACAATTGAAAGATATGTCACTAATTTTCTATTCCAAAGTTATTAAATAATGTTTGTACATAAAAGAAAATTAGAATTACGTTATCTTTCGTGAATACATATAAAACAGAAGCAATTAACAGAGAAGTTTTACTTCTGTTGGTTTCGTTATTAACTGTCAAACTTTGAAATACGTTAGACAGATCGCCATATTTTAATTATCCACTCGTTCTTCCAGGACTACTTAACACGAAAACAACTATAAACTAGGATTGATTGCAGGTAGCAGGTGCTAAAGATCTGCAGCCACGAGCTATCTGAGCCCGCCATCACTTAGAAACCGACTGCTCCTCGAGGACTTCGTCCGCTCTGAGCTTTATTTCCTTCCAGGAATTTTGAATATCCTTGCTCTCGCTAAACCGCGAACAAATTGCGAACCGCAGGAAATACATATCGTTTATCTTCGATGGCACCAAATGAATGTTTCTGGCAGCGTTGATTTTCTTCAACAGATTCTCATTTATTTCGTTCGATCCCTGGAAAACGATTTTCAGATCATTAATGTGCAACAAAGAACTTAACAATACATGATATAATGGTATTGTAAGTGTAAGAATGAATATTGATGAATGATTCAAAAAATGTGGTTCAGCAAGAACTTATAGATATGATACTACATGATCTTTATTGTTTTTTACAGTAACTCTACAGTTACTGTAACTTTGATTGTCTTTTACTTTAAGAAAAAATCAATCCTTTTTCCGAGTTAGCTTCTTTATGAAACTGCTCATAAATCGTTAACAACGGAAGATATTGAGAAATGCCTGAAACAAAAGTTATTCTGCTCCTTCGGACCTAAAAATCTACGCGAAACTTTCTGAGGCACATCATTTTTTTGCAAAAATTAAGTGGTTTCACCTCTCCATTTCTTTTGGAAAGTTTAATATTTTTTGTGACAAATAATCTATTCTTTACAAATACAACGGTGTATGATCATTATCAGTATTTTCTATATTCACTATTAATTTAATTCTACCCATAGTTATAGTGTTGATTATTTTTATATACGTTTCATCTTGCATTTACCTTACCATAAGATTACAGTATATTTACGCATAGTATAATGTATTTTATTAACGATTGAAAGTAGTTTATTCAATACAGTTGTTATTGTATCTTAAGTATAACATTCTTCGGAAAAAATGTTCAAAACATAAATATTTTTCATATGTATACAACTGTAAGATATTTAACTTCTATACAGCAAAGTATAGCTAATACTTCAAATACATCATACGTATTTAAAGTGAATTTCTCTACTGGTGTCATCAAACAATAATCTACTAGATTTGCATACCATGCTTCCTCTTTTGCTTTACACTAGTGTGCACTACGTATGTGTGAATAATTACACTATTACGGTTACATAAGTGTAATAAGAAATATAAGTAGGAATGATTTTTATCACAAAGGTTATCAATGTTACAAGTATAGATTGAATTAACAGCTATATAAGCATTGAATTAAAATAGAAAATATAGTAACAGATACTAAGGTTGATAGATTAAATTAATGTAGAAAATACACAAAATGTAAAATAGAAACTTTATATGATATAATTACAGCAATGATATACTATTGAATTTGCAAATAATAGCATTTATTTATCACAGAAAATATTGTGAAAAGAAAAAATCTACCAAAAAAATGGAGGATAAGGCTCTTCAATTTGTGTATAAAAGTTATTTTTTGCGAAGATCTATAGGTTTAAGAAAACAGTATAACTTTAAATTTATACGCATTTATATAGGTCGATTCGAATAGAACGGGCACCAGTGAATTGCTTATATTCCTGCATAGGTCTAATGAACAATCGAGAAGCTTCATAAAAATCGCCATGTATTAGTTACCGGGGTCCCCTTGTTAAATATTCATCACTTTGTCAATATTTTTTTTATTTTCACGATCGTTATATAATTCAGAAGAATCTATAGATTACTTAGACTGATTATAGAGTGTCTAAACTTTTTCGTAATGTTAGTGTATTATGTGTTTTTTACTATTCTTTAGTTTGTCCATATTTGGAAATTGTTTTGGTAATATGAATCCAATATGATAATAAATATAATAATATTAAAAAATATTAAATACAAATTCTTATGCTCGGAAGATTATCACATGTTCATAGCGCACATATCGTCAATGCTAAATTTAGTGTAGTTAAAAGAAATTCGTATTACTTTTTCTGTAAATACTCGTCGAACGTTATATGGTAAGTATAGCTCAATCAGCAGACATTGTACATATGTGGCGCAACACTGTTTGCGATTCCCTTAACCTTTTTGGCAACAATTTAGATAACTTCAGAAACTTTGTTCTTTTTGAATTAAACTGGTGTATTTCACACATGTAACACATGTATTTAACACGTGTATTTAACAAATAAATGACTATATGAATGAATATTGTTACATATTAATTCAATGCATGAATCTGTGATATAAATTTGTTGAATTTAATATGTGTTTAAATTCGATAGATTTTTATATATCTAGATAGAAAAATTATATCGCATGATAACAAAGAGCTGAATGTCCTGTTTGTTATTAAATGGAAGAGAAAGGGTATAGATATGTTTGTTAATTAACACTGACAAAAGTAAAAGTTTGTAGGTTAAATTAGTAACTTTAATACAAATTTTTCCGGAAAACTGTTTGTATAAACTTTGCTATGTTGTTGAAAAAAAAATAATCTGCTTTTTCGATTTAAAAACTATGCCTCTATTACAATTGCAACTATTTTCAATTATTAAAAATCAACCCTAGTAACTAAACATTTTCTAATTTCTTGAAAATATTATGTTTTGAATTACTTGTTCAAATCGTTGAATACCATTACATTCAAACTCAGTGAATGTCACTTTTAATGATAAGTTTTAAAATAAGTTAATTTAATGTTCATTTGTGAACACAAATGTTTACGACACAGTCTCAAATCAAATGTGGTCATTAATAACCTAAGAAGGTGCATGTGACCTTAAGCTTTCAATTGAAAAGGAATATAATTGGAACAATATTATAAATAAAGTTAATAAAGTACGGTTAATATTGTAAGTAAATATTTACCTTCAACCGAAAACAGACGAGTCCTAATATCACTTCAGCCACAATCTCGAATCGTGGATCTGAAAGGACCAATGCTTCGAATTCATGAGCTTGGGCGACGTGAGTCCTGATATATCGTTGAAGGTTTTCCACCCCATAAATTCTCAGCACGAACCACAGTTTCAGTGCTCTGAATCTACGCCCCAATGGAATTTGCCAATGCTGTGTAATAAAAACAGATTCTCCTTTTAAGCATTATTAAATCATTGCCTTTATACAAGATCTGGTCGAGTAACATGTAAAAGTGGATACCACATAAATATGACAAAATAAAAAAAATATAGAATACAATTTTTTATTTTCGGCTCAGTGTTGCACAAAGTCGACTTTGAAAATTTGCTACGTTTTTCTGTTTTAATGTTATTTTCTGTCGAGCGATGTAAATGCGTATTGTCCTCCATTACACTTTGATCGAAATATAAAAACATTTTTAAATGATGGTTATAACTATTAGATAGGCCGCGGAGGAACGATCACCAGATCTATAAGGTTCTTAAGTTTTATATTTACAGACTTTTATTTGTAGGAATGTATTAATTAGAGTAGATAGTAAATATGTCGAAAGTGAGCATCAATTAGTGCAAATAATTAATTATTCATTTAAGAAACTGAAAAGGCAAAACACGTTACCATACATGCTTGAGTAATTAAACGAACCTAGTTATGTATATCACAACAGGAATAACAATTTCAATAATTTCAAATGAAAAAGTAAAATTCTAATTCATCAATAATTTTTTTCGCATTTTTTTTTTAAGCCAATAGCATTCGCTTGTTGTGTAGACATTATTTACAAGCATAATACGAGTTTTTGCTGCTTGACAGAAAATAACATTGCCATAACAGCAAAAGAATGCAGCGGATCTCCAAACTTGATTTTCTCGAAAACTAAACAATATAAGCATTATATTGCATAGCACATATAATAAAATATTTTATTGTGCATCTTTCTCTTATCTTGTCGTAAGGTATTACGCGGTGTCCATTTTTACATATTTTTCGGTTGGATCTAGAATTAAATGAAACGATAAATTGAAGAGTGATAATGTGGTAATAAGAATGCTAAGATGTGGTAATTGAGATGCTACTCAAATTTTTACTAAATGTAGTAGTAAGGTACACGAAACGCTACCCAAATATTTTAACCTCGTATACAAGTACATATACATATGAATCATACATATATGACTAAAATATAACTGAAATATATAATAAACAAGTAGGTTCCAAAGTGTTTAATTTAAAACCAGATTTGAATTTAGCGATCAAAAGAATCTTTATATGTCGTAATTAAACTGCAAACGTTTATGCGTTAAACATCTACAAAATGTAAAGAAATCATAAAATCTACAAAATCCGTAACCTATGGATTAAATAATTCGTATTTATGCATATTTTGATATATTATAAATACATTCACATCCGCAGCCTAGGGATAATTTAAGAATTTTTTAAAACAATTTGAAGCCAAAGAATAGACTTTCCATTCCCTAGCAGTTAATGTTATTTGCTATTACAAAATTGTATGATTATTGATAACGAAAGTGCAAACTTACTCTATAATCTGGAGCAGATCCTTGCATATCATGTTTCAGGTACAACGGGTCGACGTTGAACGCGTTAATAACATAAGTCGGATCCTTTAACCACATAGTTGAACAATCAAAGTTCACCAACATCCATTTATGCGGATTAAAATTGAAGGAATCAGCTAACTCAATGCCCTTCATTAAATGCCGGAATTCCGGGCAGATGAAGGCGGAACCTAATAAAAACATGTTAAATAAACATTTCACGTTTATATTAATATGTTATATAGAATAGTATAATTTATGGAATAATTTACCAGCGTAAGCAGCATCCACATGCAACCAAAGGTTTTCGCGATTTGCTACAACACCCATTTCGTCCAAACGATCAAATGCGCAAGAGCAAGTTGTTCCTAACGTTGCAACAGCCTATAAAACAGTTTTAATAGTAGTTTTAGATACTATAGTACATATTACCATATGTCACATATCTTTTAAAATCCTAAACAGCATATAATATTATTTTATTACATTTTTGCCTCCAAAATAGTGTACAACACGAAATATACAGATTTTTTTACAAGATGCAAATAAAAAATTCTCTTAAAATCATTTGATCCGTGGCTTTGGCATTGAGGCATATTTAATCATTTGAAAATTGGAGAATTGATTCTTATTAGTATTTAGATTTACACTGAAGCTTCCCTGGATACTCATATGCTCCTATACGGATTGTAGGATCGGAAAAATGATAAAATATGTCATATAAGCGGAATTTCTGCAGCGTTTTGGGAATTCTAATTTTCTTAATTTTTCAATTTGACTGTTCCTAAATTTCTAAGTTGTCCAATTTGTTTACTTCTGAATCTCGAAATTTTTCAATTTGGCTCTGTGAGGAAATCGCAAAATAAGAAAATATAATTTTTGATCATTTTTATATTTCGTAATTTCCAAGTATGAAAATTCGAAAGTTTAACAGCTTACTACCAAAAGTAAAGAATTTACAGTAATTCAGTTATTGAATTATCAAATTAATGATACTTCAACATCTCTAAACTTTTCAACTTGAAAACTCTTAAATCTGCAGATTAAGTCATGTAAATATCTCAAATTTTGAATGTAAAAATACGAAAATTATAAATTTTGTAAATTTCCAACTTACGTAAAATGGAATTAATCCTTGTTCTCTATCCTTGCGAATAGCTTCTGCAAGTGTTTCACCTCGAAGTTTGTATTTAGAGTCAACTTCTAATGACCGGAACTTTACGCCTCCTAGAAGGCCAGCTCGTTCTACAGAACTGTGAGCTTGACCTGAAAAATACATTAAAAATAAAATTCAACTTTGTATTTTATGCACAGAGTGATTTCAGTACTTTAATGTGACTATAATTATACTTCTACTAAAGAAAGAAAACATTTGAAAAGAAAAGTTTTGCATTGTTTAACAAATTCCATTATCGTGCAGAGTAATCTTTGACATCGCTGTAGTTGAAAGGTGCTACTGCATTTCTCCTTTTAAAAAAAACCTTATGACATCTACTTCAGCATAAGCTGATTCTTTGTACTGTTTTGAATAAATAAGTATAATGGTGCAATGTAACAAAAACGAACGGTGTGAAAGATATTTCGTATTGAAAAGTGAAACTTTATTGTACCTTATTCGATGATGTAAAATACATCTTCAAGCTATAAATTTTGGTTACACTGTATCCTAATACTCTGTTTATTCATACTATTCTAACAAATCGACTCCATTATGAAAAAATATGAGGTAACATATTAAGGTAAGAACAGTGTTCTTGTGTTCATATAAGTCTTTTTTAGAAACGGTAACTAACTTGATACCACAAATGTATAATACATTTTTCATTTAAACGAAAATAAATAATATTGTTTCTGTTCAAAGTATATGTTGTAAAATAATGTCTATATTTGTCATTTTTATTCATAGCCTAGTTACGAAGCAGGTATTTGTCAAATGTAGATATGTAGGTAGATATTCAGGTGGGATGGCCTTTCTTGAAGGTACATTATAATAAATAAATAAATGACGGTACATTATAAAAAATTAATGTAGTACATGAATCAAAAACAATTTCTATTGCAATGGTAACTAAATACTTTCTTTCTATAAATGAACTCATGATCTTGTTTATTCCACAAAATGCATTTTCCATAAGAAGGACAATAATTCTTTGAATACGTAGAAACTGCAAAATATTTCATCTTAGCATTGTTTTTCTTCAAGTTTCATTTTATACTTTAAACGAAAAAAGCAATACTATCTATAATAACGAGTTAGCTAAAAGTAAAGTAAATGTGAAATTCCGACCAAGAGTGTATTTTTTCAATACCCAATCAATAATTGAAACGCTATTCTCTTTCAAACATTAATCCATTATTCCAAGTGCCATAACGCGGTCTACAATTGATGCAACAAATGCAACAAACAAAACAAAGGTCCTTTAATTCTCAATATTCAGAGGACAATAGTCAATGACAATGGTTGCAGTAGGTATTAAGTATCGATAGAAAAGAGCCGTATTCTTAATGGACATCTCATTCTTTTTCTCTCCACGTTGCTAATGCACAGACCAAACTACGTCAATGGAAAATTACGAAATGCTTTTGTGCCAGTAACTTTCTATGATTCGACGTGCCAGCGGAGAGAAGTGGTAACAGGAGCACAGAGCAATCGAAGGGGTGAGTGTGGGTGGTGGAGGATAGAAGGGTTGGAATAACTCGAGTGGTTATTACGGGTTGCCATGGTGACAAAGTGCTGGTTGATGAAGTGCTGCAACCCCATACTCTGTCCTGTCAACCCATCCCTTCCTCTGGTGCCTTTGTCAAATGTTAAAGAGCGCCGGCTAACGTCATCGTTAATCTTGTTTACGGGTGAAATCATGATTGAACATTGGCTCGAATTTTTATCTCCCTAATCTTTAATCCTCTTGGCATTGTTATTTTTCGACGATCACGGTGAAGAAATGAAGGGTTGTAAACCTGACGAATTTTTAAAACACGCTTGAAAAGTGGGACAAAAGCTTGAATAACTGATATTTTAATAAACAGGTTAAACATTGCAATTAAAATAATAAAATTTCATTTGCAATTTCTTGCCGCTAACAAATACCGAGGCTTATTAATATTTTTAAAGTGTCGTATGGAAAGAAAAGACGTTTAGAAGCAATTTAATTATTTCGAACTCTATTTATTCAATTAAGGTAAAACTTGGAATGGCCGATCAACGTGCTGATATATTTTAATGAAATTCTAAAGAATTACTTACAGGAACTATAGGCGACTAGTTTTTCCACTATTTCGTTGTCTGTCCAGTCAGGATGTTGTTCCTTGACCTGGCTTATTTTTTTAGCCTTGGCACCGAGAAGTGCCACTAAAGTTGCTTCACTTGCAGTTCCCTATAAAGTGAAATGCAATTGCTATTTATAAGCAGCTAAATTCTTTTAAGCTGTATTAATTATTGCACTATAACTTAAATTCTTAAAATTTCTTTTCGTTTTCAGAGTACAAATTTTGTAATGTTATTCTGTATATTCTTAATATTATATTGATTTTTACTATATTTCCACCTTTATGTGGACTTTCAGGGTCCAACTGATTTTCACGATAATAAAGCACAAAGTTCACCATAAGGCGTCTAATATTTGAGCAACAGGTGATGAGTGTATACTTATAATTGCTTACTTCAAACATAATACATAATTTAGTAAAGAGTGCGTTAAAAGGAACATTATGTGTTCAATAAAATTTAATTAAGGATCCAAATCTTTGCGAAGTAAAGTGTACTGAAGGTGAGTAAATATTATTTAATTTATAAAATGATATACCTATGCCAATTCAAGAATTATTTATGTTGAATTTTAGTCTAAGTAAATTTTAGATGTATAATAAATATTGTTACGATAATTTCATTTTTTAGTATTTACTGTATGATTCCAGTACTTGCATTAAAAACTTAAGGATCGCAAATCTACTAATTACAAATCCGTTGTTGACATTCCTTTCCTGTAAATATATTCATATATTACCTGAATAACACCGCCTCCTTTTCCACCGCTACAAGCTAAAAATTCCTTAGGTAGATCTAACATCTTTCCCAACCAGTCTAACATTACCACTTCCAATTCTGTGCAAGCAGGGCTCGCGATCTGTGCAGAGAAATTAATAAATGATATTGTACTAATATTACTAATAAAAATATAACAATTTCAAATTATATTAAAATACAATCAAATAATTATTGATATGAGTTCTATAGCAAAATGTAGAACAAAACTGTTTATAATTTTACAGAAAAATGTGAAAGCATATATATATATCTTGATAAAATTACAATTAGGAAACAAAATATTTTTCTTACCCAGCTGAATCCAATGCAAGCAATAGCACCGCTAAGCATGTCGGCAACGATTGCTGGATATGATTGAGCCGTGGGAAAATAAGCATGGAATTTAGGACTTTGCCAATGAGTAACCTGAAACCAAATTTATTTTTAGTAGAATAAAAATCAGAAGATATTTACAAATACTAATAATAACATACGTGGAACAAAACCTCCATATGATACATTTGCTATAAGGTGAAATGGGGTAAGTGCAGACTGGTTGTTGTCGATAACGTTGTCGATATCGAACGCTTTGTACAATTACTACTATTTAATTAATATTAACTAGGACCTTAATTTTCTTTGTACATTTTGATTTTGATAAGAAATTGTTTAAAATATCAACTACTTTCACTTTCCTTTCCCCGAAAATGGGATAAGAGCGTAACTTGAAGTTAAATACTTTGAAACTTGATTTCATGTGCAATGAAGCAAGAGCAGAATCTGCTATAAAATGCTTTTTACTACATTATGCAAGTACTCTATACTGCAAACAAGTACTCTTAGTTGAAATATAAAAGGGGATACAGGGGAAACAAAACAAGAAAACAAACATACTAAATGGAGAAATTTCGCTAATATTGTAATAAAAATAGCCTGTATATGTACTTGCACCGTTTACGAACTTACCCCACTTCACTTTATCCTTATGTGCGGATATGTACGTCCAACAATTTTTATTTCAATTTATTATGACCTAAAATGTTACTTGCACTGTCAGCAGTCATTATTATTCATTTTTGTAGAGGACACTAAGTTTTGACTAACTTCGAAATAAGTAAATTGACGCTCGAACATTTATGTGATATTTCGCTCTTTGTATGCGATTTTCAGATTTATAATTAATTTCGAAAAACGATTGTTAATAATAACAATGATAATATTGATACAATAAGTAGCGCTAAGGGTGCATTGATATCATAAAGTAATTGTTGTACATGGAATAAATTTTAACTTTTTTTACATTTTCCAATAGCCAATAAGTACTTTTTGCCCAATGTTATGTATTCATTATGGATGTGTATACTATCAAACAGTTTTTTAAAAATTTAATTTTGACAATGAAAATAAAATGAACTATAACCCGTAATATAATAAAATCAAAAAAGGATTATCGTCGAATATTATAAATAAGCTAATGCCTATTTTATTTGAATTTAGCTTTAATTTACCAATATTAATATTTGAAGCTGGCATCAAATTTAAAACACAACTTGGACATTTCAATCAGTAATTTCTGTATAAGAATTCTTCATCCTATTTAATACCACCTTTCACGAATTTTATGTCATCTTTCTTCAGGTGATTTTAGGCATGCGTTATTTCTGAAGAAGATTGTCTTGTTAAAAAAAATGGTGTCGATTTCAAAAGGTTGATATCAGTAAATTAATGGAAAATTTAAATTGAGATTTATTCACATATAATATGCAATGGTAATTCTGCTTCAATTCTATTATTTTATCATTCTTAGTGCCTTTTTAAGTTAGTTTTAATTTTATTTCAATGGAAAACCAAATCTGTTTTGTAACTTCCTTCAACACTTTTCGCAAAATAAAGGTTTGTTCTATCACATGGTACCTGTTTCTTATTTCTAAACTCTTAATTTACAAAATACATTAAGAAATATCCGAAAAAAATTAACCCCTGATGAAGATTTCATTTTTTTTAGAGATTACTTAAAATATTGACGTAATAATAATGTCATAAAAATATATATTATTTTATTTGGAATACTTAATATAAAGCATTCATATACTTTTTTCAGTAAAGGCACAAAATATTCTTGACTTAAATTGTCTTCTGCCTACAGAATTAAATTTCTTAAAAACTTCTATTTATGATTTATACGTTCATAATCCGTGCATGCAAGTCTTGAAGTTTTCTGATTGCAAAACAAAATACCTACGTATTGAAAAGTATAACAGGTTTTCAAATTACGTTACTCACTCCTGGCATGATTACTCGTTCAATATCTGCCATAATGTCTTTCCAATTTTCTGGAGTTTGTGGAGCCTCAGCTGGCAAAAGAGGTTTCATGTACCCTGGCTCCACTGCTGGAAGTATTTTTCTACAAAGTAACAAAAATTTGATTTAAAACAACGTATATTAAATTTTAGATTATATCCCTATTAATTACTTTAAAAGTGAAAACATTAAGAAGTTAACACGAAATGTGGAAAGTGATTTTTTTTTATAGGGAAACGAAATAAAAATGTAGACTAACATGTAATAAATTGTATAAATTTCTAGAAGCATTGTACCCATATTTTGAGTATGATATTGTAAGATGCAAGCTGCTAATTGGCTCTTCTTCTTCGACTAATTAGAAATTTTTCTGATACGATTGTGTCATATTATGATAATAAATATCATTTAACATTCCAGTGCAGGTATGTATAACAAAACACAAAGGACGAATGATACAGGATACAGTGACTAATTGTTGTAAAAACATTTACCTGTCCCTGATATTCTCCAGATAATTAACAATGTATTCCGCCATTTCCTTAGCGAAATCCTTGAAACCGTCGGGATCCATTTTACGTTTCCTACAACATTTGCACATTCTGCTGATTAATATTCAATACTCACTTACTGTATGAATGAGTAATATTTTATGCTTTCATGTCAATAAAAAATTGATCTTGATAAGGTGCAATCTACAATGTTAATCTACAAGGTACTATTGCTTCCTTCTTTAGCACTTTACATAAAATTAAAAGATTATAACATATATAATGTTGTATAACACACACAGATAATTGTAACAAACAGTATTAAAAAATTAGTAGTTTATATATTTGGATAATGAATGTCTCTCAATATTATTTTGTATATCAGTAAAAAACGAAACGTTGCTCAAAAGTGATTATAATTACAATATGTTAACATAATTGTTTTCGTATGTTTTAAATTGTAATATAAATAATTGTATATAAATAATTATTATATGTAATTTATATTATAAATGTTGTAATATATAATATTAAGATTATTTTGCACAACTATATGTATAAAATAGCCATTTAGGAGGTTATACTTACTGAAATGTACTCGGTTCATGCACTCTCATTCGAGTTAAAAATGAGTACTAATCATATTGTACAGACAAAATATAAATACTAAATTTCAATAAAATATACCAATTAACAAACTGAGATGAGTGAAATTGAGATCAACTTCAAAGAATACGTTGTTTTCCTTTTATCCTAGCGAAACGTTGGCTTAACCAAAATAGAAAGTAATGATATACCATGCGGATTAAATTATTTATAGGATTATAATATCCTGCTATGAGAGGATTATAAGACTCCTAATATCTAACTCATGCAATATTTAAATGTAACGCTAAATAATTGCATGAGATAATAAAATAATATTTGAATAATCGTTGAATTGTGATCAAATTAGTGAATAGAATGATTGTCACATTATAGCTTTTATGAGAAAAATTACATACTGTTAATAACACCTTATCTCAGGTAGAATGCAGTAATTTTGAATTTTTTTGCGAGGAACGTAAAGAGCGTTAATGGTAAGCAATCACAAATCATTCTTTATCTTAAGGAACCATTTCATATACGTTTCTCCCATATACATATGAATGCATACTTTTAGAAATGTTTCCTATTAAGAGAAAATGTAAACTACCGCTAAAATTTTATATCATCGTAATAATTAGGATATTTAAAAAAAAAAAAAAATGAAATAAAATAAAAAGAATACTTTACAAAAAGGGTATTTTGGAGGAAAAGAATGAAGAAGGAGTAAACGTCTTATTTACTTGTAAAAATCCTAATAAGCAGTATATTTACATTCCGTACAATTTTCTCAAAGAAATGCAATTTGTCTAATTGTTTCTTTTCAAGTTGAACAAACAATTCTTATTATTAAAACCTTGAATGCCATGTTTCACTTCTTGTAAGGACGTATGAATTTTTACGTACATCTAAAATTCTGATTTTATACTGCAACTGTGATTGTATTAAACTAAAAATATAACAAAATTAATTAATAAAACTAAAATAATTTAATACGTATATCTATTAGATCTATGGAAAATAAAATTATTCATTTGAAGCATTCTGCACGATTCAAGCGTAGCACATGAAATGTTAATGGTGGTGTGACATGTGACTCTAGCAGCCAATCTGTCTGCCAAAATGTCTGCCCAGAGTTCAGAAAAATTCAAATGAAATATTGCTTTAAATTCAAATTATTACCAATACTTTACATAAAGGAAAAAATATTTTAAATTACTATATTAACAGTGAGTCCAAAAGTACCCAAACGGGTAAAGTAAATACAAAATTCATTAGGAAATATCTATATAATGATCAACAACTTCAATTTTTAATTTCGCGCTCAACATGTTTCATCTCGATTAATTACTATTTAAAAATTCCTCTGTACGTCAAAACAAAAATTTCTATTAATTTTTGTGATAAAAAATTTTAAACCACGTATTTCTCTAAATAATTACGTGTTGCGTTCTCTAAAAATTAAATTCAAATTGCTTTAGAATTAAGATACTTAATGCACTCGATACTTAATACTTCTAGTAAATTTATTGAAGTCCTCCTGAACTTAAACCCTAGTCATATAAAGGTAGTTAGCTCAATCATAAGCAACTCACGTTAAAGTAGACGACAAAGTATCGGTGAAACACTTCGAGTTACGACGTTCAGATCGTTGGCACCGTTCTTCGGTATATACGATGCAATAATTGGCGAGACTAGCCTTCTCAATGTGGGTCTTTAGAGTCGAGGTAGGAGGTAGAAACACGTGTCTCCTTTCTGGATAGACAGCAAGAGAGGGAGAGAGATTTGATCTGTGCGTAATGATCTACGATTTCCATCGCAACTGGAGACAAGTTGATTCGTGAAAGAACAATGACCGTGACCTATTTTTCTCTTTTTATTTTCTTTTGAAGCATGTTTCGTTCTACACCTTTCCCCTTCGTGATTGGTCATAGATTGTTTTCTGATAACTGTACAGAATTTGAACGCATAATCGATTTGTCATCAGATTTGTTGGGGCAAAGCGTTCGACAGGAAGATAAATCGTTCGAAATTCAAATCATTAATTCAAGGTCATATGATTCATATAATAGTTTGCTCAAAAATTAGTGTTTCCTAGATGTACATTATTATTGCATTTTAATTTTGATTATTTGTAATATGATCTTACTGTTTTTTCATTTTGTCAAAAATGAATAAGATTAATTGTTTTTAATCTTGATAAAATTTACAATGCTTAGTTGAGAGCATTGTGAGATATAATTTAATTTTAGAAAACTTAGTTTCTATGTTAGTTGCATTCAAGACAAAACGTATGCAATTTACGTGATATTTAATAAGTTTGTAAAATATGAAACAATTATCAAATCTTATTGAGTTAAAGAAATCGTAGAATATGAATTGATGTAAATTCTAATATGAATTTATAATACCTTTTATTTTTGTTAATTTGAAAGTTTAATAGAATTAAATAATTTTAATGAACATTGGAGTATAATATTGAAATTGATTGTACTTTAATATAGAATTATTTACTTAAATTCGTAGATATATAAATTTTAAGATAATTTCGTGAGAAGGAAAATTTATATGTCTTTGACAATGTTCAACGAATTTATAAAAAAATTATATAATAGATTATGAAGATATGTTATTTTAAAAAGTTGTACAATTAGATTTAACATGAACGTATTATCTTGTTTTTATTCGTTGAAAAATTAAATAAAATTAAGCTATTTTAGTCTGTAGTGAAATGTGATGGTATTGTAAAATATGACACGATTCAGAAGACTGAATTACTTCACTTAATTAAATTCACAGATGGATATCTATAAGCCTTAGGATAGTTTCATCAAAAAGAAGCTTTATATATCTTTCATCATGTTTAATAAGTTCATATAAGGATTATTAAATTATAAATTCATGTTATTATAACAAATTGTTTAACCGATTCTAATATGAATGCATTTTTCTCTTTTGTTAATTGGAAAATTAAATACAGTTAAATTTTACAAAATAATGAAATATAATATTCTGCTGATGGCACTATAAGATATCACATGGTTGAGAAAACTTATTAAGATTCATAGATTAATATCTATGCCGTACGTTAGTTTCATTAGAAGGAGAATGTTCTGACGATGTTTGATAAATTCATGAAAAAATTAAGTAATTATAACTTCCTATTGTTTCAACAAATTGTACTGTAATCGTTCCTAATGCAACTACTTTACCTCTTTTGTTAATTGAAAAATGAAATAATCTTATTAAATAATGAATATATTATTTTAATTGATGACATTGTAAGATCGGGATCAAACATACGCACAGTTCGATCAAAATCGATTTTATCAATCGGTTTTATTTATATATAATAAAATTAATAAATTGAACTAAACTAAACTAAACTCAATTAATATTATAATTCTGAATTAGAAATTGAATACTGACGGTCTAGATTCTATTTCATATTATTACTATGAATTAAGGAAAAATAAATTAATGTTATTAAAAACTGATAACGAATCTAATACAATATGATTCGCGGTTTATGACGAATATTTGCTGCGATTACAGATTTTTGTAAAAATGTCGATATTATTACGTTTAAGCGCTAAGCGAAATAAAAATTATAATTCGAGAATATTGATGCATATTGATCATGTTATTATTGAAAAATTATACAACAGCATTCTAAATCGATTTTTTAAATTAATTAGCTTATACAACAACTGTACAAAATCTCAAAACGAAAGAACTGTTAAATTTTTTCCTTCACGAAAATTGAAAATTATGAAGCTTTAATATACATTTATCTTTCATTATTTTAAATAACCTTATATTTTTGCCGCATTAAATAGAAATTATGAACACGTAATGCTTTTGTAAGCCTTAAAATCCAGAGATAAATTATTGCTGTTGAGTAATGTTACGATTATATACTTAAATAGAACTGCGGAAATCAAATCAAAAGTACTCTACGATGATTAAGAAGTGCGGTATGAACAAAAAGCGAGTTTATCTTCTTATTGCGGTCTGAGCGGTACTGACAGTAAGCGTTCCTTAGGGAATATTTCCTAAGGAAAATAGAAATATAAGTAAGAAAATGAAATCCTACTACTCATTGTAATACTCGTGTTAATATACGTATAAGGAATACATTTGTACATTCAAAAATGTTAAAGATTTAAATAACACATGAGTAATTAAATACAAAAGATAAGATAGTTCTATTATTTAGAAAAAATTAATGTTATATTCAATTATCAAATACTATAAAATTAAATACCTGTATATACTTAAAAGAGACAATGGTAATTCTTATTCAAACAATTATATTTATTAAGCTTGTATTTTAAGTTTAAAAGAGTGTCAATATTAATTTATAAAGATGGTAGACTAATACAAGACAGTCATTTTAATTAAAAATCTTTAATCATGAAATATAGAAGATTTTAATAATTTACAAATGATTGCACAGTGACTAGAAATATTTAAATACTTTAGGCGTTGAAATAAAATTAACATTT